CAACTAGCAAATATTTTATCCGCATGATTTCATGAACGAAAATGCTTGCAAACTTTTGTTTCCTCTATTATTTTTGTAAGTTATAAAATAATCATGACATGATTCATTATCATTAGAGTCGCAAATTTTACCCTAGTAGGATATTCAACAACAATACGCTTATTTTTAGTGAGCTCAAAGCTGTCAACCTAAGCAATGTCAATAAATGAGACCAAGCATTATGAACAAGAAAGGTTCAAAAGCAAGAGTCCTCAATTGTAGCGTTGTTATGATACTAGGTGAAACTTGCCACCACAAATAAAACACAAATCCCAGCATGACTAGCTAATATACTATACCACACAACTAAATTTTCACTATAGATAAAAAATATGTACATAAAATGAATAGTGGTGTCTTCAAGCTCAGTCAACCAAAGGAAATGAATTCATATTCAAATTAAATGAACTTCTAATTATCTAAAGGTTGTCATAATCTATTAAAAATTCATTATACAAGCAAAACTTTTGGATGTTAATTACAACCTAAGCGAAAGTGTAAACAAGACAATATCAATAGTCAAAAAGTCCGAAGTTGACATCCAAGACAATGACAATCAAGCCAGATTTTCTATATGCAAAGTGAAAAGCCTTATGAACATATGATCTATCCCTACGCTTATCCTAACATCTAAGTGAGACTCATCATATTGATAACACTTACATAAGGATAAATTCTAGCACGGCCAACCTATGTTACGGGTCTAAATGAAATGTTCGCTATAGACAAAATAAACCATCAGAAGGACCCCTTTCAACTTGTTAGCCACGGAATAGATTAAGAATGACATCTAGACATATCGCCTTATAATTAGACACGAGTTCGCATGAATTCAACTTTGATTATTTAATTAAATATACACAACATTATACATAAAAATCACACAACAATATACATAGACATGAGACATACAAAGCTAAAGCTTCAAAAAACCATATTTATAAAAATTAGATCGGATCAACCCGTCTAGTTGGTTCAACCGTGAACTAGTTCTTTGACCGATTCAATAGTAAAAAAAACGAATTTGCACAAAACCACTCGAAACTACGATTAAATCAGTTTGATTTTTTATGAACCAATCGGTTCTAATATAGATCAATTTCTAACCTATTGATTTTAATGAAATTGATATAATAAAAAAGTTTAGAGGTTCTAACAAAATTTACCAATCTCCAATTTGAATTTTTCTCAACTTTTAAATATTGTCGTTATTTGAAGTTGAATATCTTATAACTAATCTAAACATCATGTATAGAAATACTAATTTAGAAATATATTCAAATATTTAATGGTAAAATATTTTGATTTAGAATATTACATATTATATTTGTGAAAATGTCATTTTTGCATCATTATTATGAAATTTCAATCATATAAAATAATTTAAAATATTTATTGTATCATCCAATTAACCTCGGTTAAACCGTTAAACTATGAACCTCTTGTTCTCCCAGTTTAATGGTTTCCAAAATCTTTAAGAAATTAAGCTCATTTCATTATCCAAAATACTTCGAGCAAATTCTACAATTTTTATTTTCAAGTTGGATAACCAAGAGCACCTAACCATTCTAAAAAAAATTGAATAAGCCACTTTACTTTTCATACAAAAGAATTTTTAATTTTTACAAAGAAATACAAGAAAAAAATAAGGAAAGCTAAAATAGTGAATGATAAATATACCTCATTTAACACTCCAAGTAGCCACTTGAGAGCAATCCTTTGCAAATAATAGCTTCAACCGTTAAACTAATGAAAGAAAAACAACAAGATACAATTAATCCTCTATTCGAGAGGAGGATCTATCTCTTCTAAATCTCTAGACGCCGCTAGAGCCCAAAAACTTAAACCTAAGAGATCTCAAATTTCAGCCAAATTCAAGATGCCCTAACCCTAGGAAAACAAATTATTTAATGCATACAATCCAAAAGGAAATCTCTAAACAATCCCTACATTCAAATATCCCTCCTAACTCCCTCAATAATCCTTCCTAAACAACTCCCTTGGACTAGGGCGTGCGTTCAACACGTACAGGAGAGGCGGAACTTCCACCTCTGTTCCGCCTGGGCCGGTCCCGTGTGAACCGGCTGGACCGGTCTAACAGAATTGTTTCTCCTTCATATTTATATCTACAAAAGAACGTCCACAACACCAATTTCTCATTTCCAAAGGCAAGGGAAAAAACTCTTCAACAACCAATGAATAGTTCGGTTGAATTAATTCCCGAAATCACATATACAGATGTCTTCTTCAAGGGTGACAATTTTCAAAAATATCATAAGTCTAAGGTAACAACTTTATCAAGTAGACAAAGGACACCAAACAAAATTTCATCAAACAGTAAAAAATTTATAAAATATTTCATCTATGAAAAAGATAATTGAAGATGATCATCGTGAAATAATTTAGAGGGAAACACCATTTATAGATGATAAGTCTTACTCCCCACCTTAATCGCTGCTTCGAAGAGGAAAATAAACTACAACTCTGAAATAAAAACTCATCATATACAAAAATATGAAATCAACTCACATTAGACCCCTACATAAAATTTGTAAGACAAATCATAAAATATTTCAGTAGATCATGAGGAAAATCCTAATGTTTTCATTGCAAGAGAACTGGGAATTTAGAAAAGACTTCCATATGGAAGAATTAATAATATCCAAGACAACTTTTAGAAGCAGTGGGGCACAAATAGATTTTATGCATGACAAACGCCATAATATGAAACGAAGAATATTTAGTTTTTTACAAAATGGTTGAGAATAATCTGATAACTGTAATGGAAATGCTAGTATTCTTCAAAATATAGATATAAAAATTGCATGTAAAGATAGGATGGGAAAAAAAGTATTGCTACGTTCAAAGGGAACGGAAAAAGTTGCACAAAAGAATAAGAAATGCATGCAGCATATAAGAACTATTCTATCTTTTAGATGGTTAGTTCAAACTGGATATCTACTTTTCATTTTTCAAATAAAAGGCTCACAAGCATTTTAACAACAAAAATCAAATGATAGGAAACTAAAAAATAGAAAGAAATAGATATTTTAATATTGGGTGTTAATGACTCCTCTACATATGGCTCTGAAAGTTGAGCTATGGAACAAACATGATTATGACCTACAAGGTATTGTCATCTAAATTTTTGTGAAAGGAGAAATAGATGGTGCGAGGGATTCCAAAAGTTTTTACATGTGTAAACGCATGTGAATTTGTGTTGTGAGAAAAAATGCATGACATTCCCAAAAGAAAGAGCTTGAAGAGCTAAAGCAACATTGGAGTTTGTGCATACACATATATTTGGCAAAATGAAAACTTAATCCCTTCATCAAAGCATATCCTTTCTCATAATTATGGATGATAATTCAAGATTGACTTGGGTCTGCTTTCTAAAAGGAAAATATAAAGGTTTAGATACTTTTAACAAATTAAAGACATTTATAGAGAAGCAAAGGAGTCACCAGCACAATAGAATTGGTTATACAATATAAATAGGGCTACATAGAAGGAAACAAGGAAGTGGTCAAGTATATGTGTTCCATTAGATGAATCATTTACAAGAACTCAGTCAAACCGCTTCACGAAGAAGGTGAATTGAAGGATTACACGAATTCAAATGAGAGAGAGAGAGAGAGAGAGAGAGAGAGAGAGATCATCTTAATCACGTGCCCTTTGTCAGATGCTTGACCACTTATTTATATGCAAAAGCCATAGTGACACTACAAAAATGACTAGCAAATTGGTTTTCATCCAATTGTGGTGACCTATTTTTATGGAAATCATAAAGGTGAGCTCTGAACAAACATGTTTTGTGAAAAAGTCCTTCAAGAAGATTCAAGAGAGTATTGTAATTCAAACAATTGTCAAGTACACCTAGGAGTATATAGCTATTTAGACATGTTTATTAGTTAAGTCTCATAAATACAAATTTTAACTGTCTTACCTTGTTCGATAGAAAACTTTTTTTTTTTTGCCATTGTTTGCGTGAATTGTCATGAATGACTTCCATTAAACAGTATTGAGAACTTGATGTTGGCAATTTGTAGTTTTCATTTAGTTCAAAACAGTTTAATTATATAAATCTATGCAACTTGCCTTGAGTTTGAGTTGACTTTGTGCACCTACCATAAGAAGAGATGAATGCACATAGGTCCTTGATTCCTTTAGCTCTTTCACTAAGTTAAAAAAGACCACAATGATGAAACAGTAACCACCTTATTTGCTTGAGATGCCTTGAAAAGCATGTTATGCGGTCATTCAGTAGAGATCATGAATTTCAAAAAATGTAGCAATATTATGACACAAGTTATACCTTCAGGTGAAAATATTTGAATTTTGAAATTTGAACCTTAAACTATGGTTCTTACCTTAGTCCATATTCATTGTTTCCAAGCAATTGTACTCGATGACCAATTAGCAATAGAAGGCTCCAATAACTCAAATGTAAGAACATTTCAAGATTGTTTAAGAGTACTAGACTTCGGGGTAAATTCGTTAGAGGAGAAATAAATGCTGGCAAGGAATGTTTCAGCCAATCTAGTTCCTATGAAGATTGTCACATCTCCATCTCAGATCACCCTCACATTGTGAGAAAAGGTTAGGGTTGATCATGACATGATTATATGACAAAATTCATGATTATAATAAAATCATATTCAATTAGTATTATATAATGCAACACGGTAGTCATCCTACGGAGAACATTAGAGATACAAATTAAGGACAAAAAAGACCTCACAAAAAAGTACAATGGTGAATTCAAGAGATTATGTTTTCCAACACGGAGGGCCCCTGGAACTAGCCATTGGATCAACCTATAGGCACAGAGCTAATTACCTTCAACAGAATCGACAATCAGTTCCCAAATATTTTCTACTTTCTAAGAAGAGCAGAAGCAGTTACAAGTAACCATCGGAAAATTGACACTAGAGAAACTAAAAATAAGTTCTGATCATTACCTCTTTTTGCACCAAGGTCAGCAGTAGTAAAGCTTGCAGACCCTCCATCTCCAGCATGCTTGAACTCCTGCAGCTCCTTGTGGTTCAGCCATGGCTTGACCCACACCTTCGCCTCGTAAATCTTCTTCTTCCCGGCGTCGATCGCCTCCAGTGTCAGATGGTGCAGTGTTCCCGCCACCACCTGCTCCTTAGCCTTCAGCAGACGAACGAACTCAAGCAGCGCATTCTACAACAAATAACCACAATAAAACATAAACAACAATAAAATCACCAAACCCACTAGGGAAAAAAACCCTAATACCCAAAATGGGAATTAGTAATGCTTCATCCGAAAGGATTCAAACACGGAAATAAAAGATTTGGGGACAGCGGCGACCTCCTTCTTGTTGTGCTCGTCGACGGCGAAGCGAGCATACTCCTCGATCTCTGCGCTGTTCTGATTAAGGTTCACATCACGAGGTCCTCCAACGATTGCCATCGCTGCTCCTTAAGCAAGAGAACAAACAGCGTCGAAGAGAAGAAAACCCCGATTTCAGAATGAACTCTGCGACGCTCCTCTTATATATCTCTTATACTGGAGGAAACTGGGCTGCTCGATCTTCTGCCACGTGCTCGACAGATGTCATGCTACTTCTATTTCTTTCGATTTGATGTCATTTTTTCTTTTTTCTGGTATTTGACTTTGTAGGATAAATGTTTAGGGGCTGCGGCCATGAAAAAATAATTAGGTGCAGAGTATGCATAAGTACTGGGTACCTAGCGCTATCCAGCGGTATCGAGTGATGGTACCGTTAAGTACCCAATGATTGTGCGGACGGTTCTCCCCGTCTGTACTTCGCACCTAATAATTTTTGTGACTCTGTGACATGCGGGATTGGAATTCAAATGACTGAAAAGTATTTCAAATATGGATTTTATTGGATTTAAAAAAAAGAAAAATAAATTTAATGTAAATTATTTTAGTTTATTTTTAAAAGAAATATAGTATTAATATTTTGGGGTCATTTAATTTGCATGAAGAAAATAGTATAATGAATTTAAAATATTTTTAATGACTTTCATAATTATAAGATATATATATATATATGAAAGGGAAACAGAGAGGGAGACGGCAGAGGAAAAATATCGAGCAGTCAGAGAAATTTAGAGGGAAAATAGTATATTCAAATTATGTAATAGTGCAGGGTTTATATAGGTGGAAGAGCAAATAATAAAATGCTTCAGGTACAAGTTTAGCTTAAACTAATCCTTATTTTAATATCTTCCCTCAAATTAAACGTTCTGTGAATGAACAGTTAATTTGGAACGAAGAAGCTCAAAGCGGGAATAGCCAAAAGGTTTAGTTAAGATATCAGCAATTTGATCGTGAGAAGAAATGTGCTGAACTTGAACGTTGTCAAACGTGATGTGTTGCCGTATGAACTGGTAATCGATTTCGATATGCTTCGTTCGGGCATGGAAGACAGGATTTTTAGCAATGTCAATCGCTGAGGCATTGTCACATTGAATGACAGTAGGAGAGAGATGTGCTAACTGGAGCTCCGAAGCTAGGCGTCGAAGCCAGATGACCTCCGACGTGGCTGCAGACAGAGCTCGATATTCAGCTTCGTTGGAAGATTTGGCGACAGTAACCTGTTTCTTGACTGACCAAGAGATTAGATTCGAGCCCATGAATGTGCAGTGGCCTGAAATGGACTTGCGATCGGAGGTATCAACCGCCCAGTCTGCATCTGCGTAGGATTGGATTGTGGTGTCACCTGGAATGATTGGTAGCCCAAAAGACTGAGTTCCTTTGATGTAACGCAATATGCGTTTGAGCTATGAGAAGTTGGCGGTGGTTGGACACTACATATCTTGACAAACCTGACTGGTGGCGTAAGCAATATCCGGGCGGGTGATCGATAGGTACTGGAGAGAGCCTACAAGTCGTATGTACAGCGTCGGATAATGGAATGGTTCGTCTGGTTGCTGTTGATGTCGAGCGGCTGGAGTGGCCGGAGTTGGACAAGGCTTGTTGTCCGTGAAGCCCGCTTCTTGTAGGAGCTTGGATGCATAATATTCTTGATGAAGGAAGAAGCCTAAGGCATTGCGGCTGATTTGTATCCCAAGAAACAGATTGATCTGCCCCAACTGTTTGAGTGCGAATTGAGAGTGCAGATGACTGAGAAGTTTCTTGATGTGCGTCGGATTGTTACCTGTAATGAGAATGTCATCGACGTAAAGTAAGATACATATGAAAGTTTGATTATTATTGTAAAGGAGCATGGAAGGATCAGAGCGGCTAAACCTGAAACTGTGCGATCGAAGAAAAAAATCTGTGATTTTCTGAAACCATTGTCTGGGGGCTTGCTTGAGCCCGTATAGTGACTTGTGGAGCTTGTAGACAGCGTCCGGTTGAGCCAAATCTTCGAAGCCCCGTGGATGGGTCATGTAGACGTCGTCAGGTAAATCGCCATGGAGGAAAGCGTTGGAGACATCCAACTATTGGATTGGCCAGTTACGGTTGACGGCCAAGGTGAGGAGCATTCTTATGGTGGTCATTCGGGCTACTGGACTGAAAGTTTCAGTGTAATTGTCACCTAGGATTTGTTCGTAGTCGAGAGCCACTAGCCTTGCCTTGTAACGGTCGACTTGACCGGAGGGCTTGAGCTTCGTCTTGTATGTCCATTTACATTCGAGTACACGTCTGTTGGTGGGTCTAGGAACGAGAGTCCATGTCCTCTATTTTATTAGAGCTTGAAACTCCTTAGCCATAGCTTCTTTCCAGTGCTTTACTTTGGATGCTTGAGTATACGTGACTGGTGTAGATGTGTTGTCAGTGTTGCTGTGCAGAGAGAGGATCTAATGAGGTTTTTAGATTCTTGATTTAGATCGTGTCTGCATAGGATGGGTAGTAGGAGCCGTGGTTGAGACGGGAGCAGAAATCAGTTCGGTCGAACCAGAGGTTGATATATCTATTGGTGTGGGCTGAGTTGAGATCATTTGCAGAATAGGGGGTATCATTGTTGATGGTGTTGTGGTAGAGACATGAACAAAAAGGTGAGGGTTGATGAGGTGAGAATCAGTATTGTTGGTGCTTGAAATGCTGGCGGGCAGTTGAGAGAGCGGGAAGACGTGTTCTTGGAAATCAACGTGCCGAGATATATGAACCTTGTGAGTGTTCATGTCATAGCATTTGTATCCCTTGTAGTTTGGTGAGTATCCTATGAATATACAGAGATGCGATCGGGGAGAGGAGCCGATTGATAAGATAATTGGCCGTGGACACGGCATCTGCCTAGAACTGATCCGGGTGGCTGGACACGATCAGCAGAGTGCGGGTGAGTTCCAAAATGTGTCTGTGTTTCCGTTCAGAGAGCCCATTCTATTCAGGTGTATGAGGACAGCTAAGTTGGTGCTGAATGCCGTGGTTGTTGAGATAGGTAGTAAATTCCTTGCTCATGTATTCTCCTCCACCGTCAGTCATGAGATGTTGAGGTGTAGCAGAGAAATGATTGTGAATAAAGCTGCATAATGTTTTAAATTTTGCAAAATTCTCATGTTTATGATGCATGAAGTAAATCCAGGTAAACCGAGTATAATCGTCGATAAAGGCTACATAGTAGCGAAAGCCGTTTATCGATGATTGATTGGTCGGACCTCAGACATCGGAATGAATGAGTTCAAACGGTTGGGATGAAAAAGTCACACTTTTATTAAATGATTGTTTGTGGCTTTTCACCATTTTATAAGGTTCACAGTAAAAATCAGAAGGAACCCGAGAAAAGCTAGAGATGCAGGGAACTAAAGAATTAAAGACTCTATTTTTGTGATGGTCGAGGCGAGCATGCCAGGTGGACGAGGTCGTGGTAGTTGTTTGGAAATCAGTGGCCGACGGAGCTGGAGCAGCTTGGAGTTTGTAGATCTCGTTATGTAGACGACCACGAAGGAGAGGTTGATGGTCCTGGATATCCTTAATTTTGAAACCATTATCATCAAAGGTTATAGAGATAGAGTTGTCCTTGGTTAATTTGGAGACAGATAGTAAATTGTGTGTGAGTGCAGGAACGTGTAAAAGATTACAGAGGTAAAGCTTACGAGTCAATTCTGGTAAAGGAAGTAGGCCTTGGCCATAGTTCTGTATGGGAACTGTGTGACCATTTGCAACAGAGACCGAATCAGAGCCGTGATAGGCAGTGGGGAATTGAACGTTCGAAGCATCCGACGTCATATGAGAAGATGCGCCGGAGTCAAGAACCCAAGATTGAGCTGTAGACGGATTCGGTTGAGCAAGAAGTGCTTTAGGAGCTGCTGTTGCAGGAGGGGCGTAGGAGAGATTGCAGAGATGCCAGCAGTTAGATGCTGTATGACCGATCTTGCTGCAAATTTGACAAATCGGACGAGTGCCAGTGTTGCTGGTAGGGGGTTGCGCCTGATCTGAGGTGGTCGTCGTGCGAGAGCCAGTGTTCTGATATTTGTTTGAGCGCTTTGGGTTCTTGTTTCTGGACTGATTGTAGGAGGTGGAATGGTATGCAGCCGTCGTGGCTAGTTGATCATTCTTGATGTCTTGATTGATATGGATCTCCTCCGTGATGAGAAGAGAGTAGAGAGCATCAAGATCGGCCAGAAAGGAGGAAGAGCGTATGTATGTTTTGAACGAGTTGTATGTGGCCAGGAGTCCATTGAGGATATACAGGACAATATTCTCTGGATCAATCTTGGTGCCCGAAGCCGCAATGTTATCCACGATGTTCTTGACTTGAGCCAAATATTGCTGCATCGTCTGATTGTTCATCTGTATGTGGTGTAACTCATTCTTGAGTTGAATGATGCGGGAGCGGCTTGAGGACTGCAGCCGGCGTTCAAGAACAGCCCAAACTTCGTGAGTTGTGGCCGAGGTTATGACGTAGGGAAGGATGGCAGGTGAGATCGACGAAAAAGAACAGAGATGAGGTTGTTATCGACAAGCCGCCATTGAGCGTGATCGGAGGACGACGGGTAAGTGGGCGGAAGCGTTATGCCCGTGAGATGATCGGCATAGCCATTGGCAGAGAGGTGCTGAAAGATCTGAGTACGCCAGATGGCGTAATTGTCGGCGGTGAGGGGGTTGGGAATCAAGTTCTTGATGTTCAAAATGATGAACTTCAGCGTTGCCGGAAGAACGAGCTCCGGCGCGTGGTTCAGCAAGCGTTGAGGAGATGGGAGGGAGGGTGGAAGAAGATTCTTGTTCCCCCATGATTGGCTCTTTGATACCATGAAAGGGAAACAAAGAGGGAGACGACAGAGGAAGAAGACCGAGCAGCCAGAGAAATTTAGAGGGAAAATAGTATATTCAAATTATGTAATAGTACATTGTTTATATAGGTGGAAGAGCAAATAATAAAAATGCTTCAGGTACAAGTTTACCTGCATCATCTCATTTGCCTAAGGCCAAGATGAACGCCTCCTCTACCTTAAGCCAAGACGGTTGGTCTAATCGGCCTCCATTGCTTTGATCCATGACACAGAGATTGCTCCGCTAGTCCGCCTCCTTTGCTCAAGTTAAATGCACAATGTCAAACAGGAAA